CAAGATATTGTAACATTCACTAAAGCAGTATTCAATCTAATTGCACTGGTAGATGCAGTTTTTGACGGGCTTCAATTTGGTATAAATCGTTTTTTATTTTATGTGTCTTTTAGGTCGTGTATGGGGGAGAAAAAGGTTATGTTACACCGTGTAGACAAGGATGGTCTTTGTCCTGATGTTTTAGCGTTTCTGCTGTGGTGACATGGATGCACTTGAAACCTGTATAGTACTTAATTCATTAGATAAAATGCTGAGATTCATGAGGTAAGGTGAACGATTTTGTTTAAAAAAATCAAATTACTCTGACAAACAGTGGTTAACGCGATATTAGCCGGGAAACAGGAAATTAGTAGACTTTCGCCTGGACTTTCGGCAATTGCCGAAAGTTGTGTGAGTGTGAGCCGCCAGCAACTTTTCAAGTAAGCATGACTTTCGGCAATTGCCGAAAGTCCACTGCGAAAGTCTACGACGGCGAAATTTATAGTATCCTATTCGCCAATGCCACTACTAATCAGTCGTTTTTGTGCATCGTAGTGCAGACTGTTACTATAGCAGATGCACTATAACGTCAGGACAAAGACCATCCTGGTCTACTTCTTATATAAACCAATGTCAAAGAATTAAAAACTAAGTATACACTTAGTTGAAATAAAGCGGTTGTTTACGGTTAACCGTAACCGTTGCATGCCTAGTTCGAAGCCAGAAAAGGTCAATTCTCCCATTTTTGTTGATGTTAACAGGGAACCTATGGCTCCTCTCTTTTCTGACGTGAAAATAAAAGCTTTTTCTATGTAGACTTTGGTATGTCAATTCGAAATGCATATTATCCTGGCTCTCAGTTGAATTGCATGTAGGAGATGCCGTTCTTTTAATATTTTCATCTGAAACTTAAGATTCCTTATTTTTAAAAGTCATGTACAGAAAATAAAACATTTTTATGGCACAGTCTGTCTGACAGAGTAATTTTCTTTCTTTAAAATGAGTTCTCCGTTGGAAGCTATCGTTCAAGAGTTATAAGCTTTATTCGAAAAACAAGAGTAAAATATACTCGGGTAATTCCATGGGTATTCTACCATATTTTTGCATCGAAATATCAGAATCGTTTGTGGTTCAGAGATTAATTACTTGTTATACATTTGAATGAAATCCCGTTAAAATGGCTTTGAAAGTTCGGCGCGGTGTCCAGTACATCGGAACAATATGACATTTCGAAAAGCACGTAGCAATAGTAACTAAATTTCTTAACTGTGCAAAGTGAATTGATGTTGAAACTTTGAGAGCTTGTTCTCGAGATGTAACGGAACAAAAAGTCTTTGAATAAAACTCTGAAAGTGTAACGGTAAACGTGTGGAAGTTTTCCAGAAAGATACTATTTATTCGACAAATTATGTATGTTGTAAAGAAAAAGCGTTTTTGGAGGGCACAATCAGAGATCAATGAACTTTACGTTATTTGAAAGCGTGTAAAAAACTGAGTAGAACATGTTTGTTGTTAAGAAGAAGAAAAAATCGTTACAAAATACAGTTTTCAGTACAGAAATAATATGGATACAGTTAATATTGGAATCAATGAAAAATATAGCTTTCGTGGGATTTAGATGAATACAACTGAGACATAAGTCGTTATTGTCAAAAAATAATATTTATTAATCAATTTCTTTGTGTAGTCTAATAGCATATCAGAGGATAGAATGCTGGATATAGACATCTATCGAAAGAAAAGAAAAAGATACATCAAAAACAGCGGCGGATCCAGGATTCTACCTAGGGGGTGGCGATTTTCTAAATGATGTCGTCCGAGGTAGTATGAATATTTTTTTTCTAAGGAAGTCTGGTAGCGTAATCGCGCACTGATGTTTCTTGCGAGAGGGCGGTGGTCGCCGGAACGCCGTAGTGCTAGATCCGCCACTAATCAAAAGCTGCTTTCTTTTCTGTCATATGGCTCTGCGCTTTTGTTATGCTTCGATATAGTACGGTGACGAAATCTGAGGGTAAATTCTAATTCTACTGTTATCCCAGTGCCACTTTGCACCATAAACTCCACATAACAAACGTTAATTAGTTCAACAATAATCAGCAAAAGTACGTTTTATGGTCAAATACAATAATGACGATAGAATTATGCAGACGGAGAAGACTAACAGTAGTCGTACGTATTAACATAAGCTCGAGATCATTCAAGATAGATCCGTGTTACAGTTCAGCCAACAAACCGCTGTCCCCTAGTAAACACGATCAGAGATAGTATGTCAGACGCTCTTTCACAAGACTGGACACGAGCCTGCTCGGATACAGGTGCATCTCTCGAGACTCTGGTTGAAATAGTGCATTATTTTCAGTAAAATATTCAGCGTCTTATACCAGTCTTCCACTTAGAAAGCAAGATCGGGTTTTGAGAGCTGTCATCAAAAGTAATCGCTTACTTTTATCTGTGTACCAGGCGTGTGCATTTCCGTTAAATGTTGAGTATACTATTGGTTAGCATTTGATCAATCATTGAAATAAATTCCACTTGTCTTATTTTTCAGTTTTCATCGATGGATTGACTCATAAATTATCCAACGTTCGACACAGCTTTAGATTTGTGAGTGATTTTAGAAACACTAATTTGAAATAAAACGAATTTTGGTACCCATCACGTGAATTTTACTACTTTCTATAAAATAGCAGGATGGGTGTGACCATTTATTGGGTCAACGAAAAGCATATGAGGTTCGAGTTTTACCCTTCGATAGGGAAACTTGGAAGCATCATTTTATAAGCAAAACAAAATTCAGCTTTTTGAGCTTTAGCCTGATTTTCTAAAGAGCTCCTAGAATCTTAACAATTTTGGAACTTCGTGTACTTATAAAATAACACTTCTAAGCGTCCTTATCGAATAGTGAAACTCGAACTTTCTATGCTTTTCGTTGCTGAGCTATCCAAAAAATGGTCACACTCACTATATTATTTAATGGAAATTTCAAGTAAATTTTCTACTTCTAGATTGCAGACAACACATGACAGGAATTCGATCTCTCCGCCAAACAAATACGATTTCACTAGTGGCGTACAAAATTGCACTCCGTGAACCCCCAAAAAAGACTCTGGTCCTCCGCTGCTTGGCTGTCAAGTTATTTTTATGAGCATCCTTTTTTAAGAAAGAAAGAAAATCGTCTGCGTAGCCATTATATCTGTTTTGTTCGTTCTTTACTTGCAAAAAAATGGTACATCATACAGTCGCATGGGTATTTCGTAATTACAGAAACATACAAGAATTACCGTCTAACAGAAATATTATCGGAATTTTTCGAAATTACACTTACACTCAAACAAACAGTATATATACTCATATAGAAGTTCAACTCAAATAGAAGCACAATGTACTTTAACAGTGAATAAGAAAAAGCAATGGCATCACAAACATTACACTTGGACGTTGAAGCTCAATCAGTTGAACGATGGAAAATTCATCATATTATTCAACAGTTATCAGAATTAAAAGCGCGTGATGCATCATTAATAACCATAACAATACCATCAAATGATCAATTAGATCAGATAACTAAATTGTTAACGGAAGAAATGGAAACAGCATCAGTAACAAATTCGTCCCAAACGCAAGATTCGGTTCAACAAGCACTGATCACTGCTCAGTCCCTTTTAAATTTATATTCACAGCGTAAGTTACCTCCAAATGGTCTTGTATTATATTGTGCTTGGCCTATAATCAAACAACAAATTTTCCTCGAAGTTGATTACACCATGTTCTCGAAGAAAAATCCGAGTAAAACAAGATGTAACTAGAATTGAGAAAAGAATTCCAAACAATTGCCCCTCGCTCAAGCATTTAGTTATGCGCTAATTTAGGCGCCTTAATGGACCAGAATCCCTTGTTTAAAGAAAAGTAATTAATAAAATCATTACCTTTCGGGGTCAGCGCCGTTTTCAAGGATATGCGCGCGTTGATTGAAAGCGCGTCAAAGAAGCACTTTTTTGGGCTTATTCTACGCGCTGGAGCATGGTTACTCCAGTTTTGATATTTGCAGCTCAAGAAATAGTCTGATTTCGCTAAATTTTCCTATATATGATACACTAGGTATTATGCTGTGTAGCCATTGGCGCATAATGGCGCCAATCGAAGCGTTGCTATGAGCCATAATAATAAGGCAAAAATCGCATAGATTATGTCGACACCAGAGAAAAGTTAAAATCAAATTATAAAATTTATGCTGTCGGCATATTTGTTTAATTTTATGCATAGAGCTAAATTTTCTCGGCATTCTGTTCACTGCGGCAAAAGTGACCGGTTTTCTAATGTGTGTGCAGAGAGTTTGTCTACCGGGGATAACAAATTTTCATTGTCAAACGTACAACATAATGATGGAACAGTTACGATTTTCTGTGCGGCGGATGCGTATAACCATCAACAAATACACTTGAAGATGCAGGAATTAGGACATTATGGAATGATGTTCGTTGATATTCAAGAATGTCTACAGTTTGTTGAACAGTCAGCCGAAACAAAAATAACACTTATGGTATCGGGTGAATTCGCCGAAATATTAGTACTACTTATTCATGATTTAGAAAAAATAACTTTTATTTACGTTTGCTATCCTCTTAAAAATCGAAATGAACAGAAAGAAGCATGGGTAAAAGAGTACAGAAAGGTATGAAAAAATTTTCTAAATTCATCAGCGAAAAAATGACTTTGATGATGTTAGCTAGTACTTACGTCAGGATCTGAGTCGAGTTAGGGAATAAACACGTGAAGGAGAACGTGACCGGATACGTATTTGAAACGTGATAAGAAACCACTTCTTAACAGATGATTTAACACTCGTTCGAATCAAAATAGATCTCAAAATTTCAGTCATTCAAGTCTCAATTTGTTCACTTTTTAATTTCTAAAACTGTACCGCAGAACCTTCAGCTGATACAAGCAAAATTTTGTATTTTAACTAGAGATGACGACTTATCTCAACCAGTAAGATAATAAAGTAGAACGCAACTAATGAGTCGTATGTGAAATAATGAATAAATAGTATATCCACCTCGGCAAGTTCTGTCGATTAATTGAAGCAGTTTTTATTTTCGAGAGATTTTGAATTTTAGTAAGTGTCAGCGTATTTGATAAATGCTCAAATGTATTAGGAGAATAGTGGAAAAACTCAGTACTAATATTCAAGCGCTGTTTTCTGTTTATTAATTGTGTCAGGTACAATGCTTCCTCTTACCAACAAATGCTGATAGGAAAGAAAATATAAATAGTCTTGCTCAGTTATATCAAATTGAAGATGCAAATGAATCAGTAATAAATATGTTTAATCCACTACTTGGAGAACAAACACATAAAAATCTTTCAACCGAAAATGGAAACTTTATGTGGTTGCAACTAGTTGTTGACGTTTTAATTCGAATGAAAGAGCAAGTATCATATGACGAAGCTATTGTAAAATTGAGAGAAAAATATCCAAACGAACAAATAGATAAATGTATGATCAGGCAGTTTTTGTCAGATCATGACTTTTTAGCAGTTTCGATGAAAGAATTTCTTGAAATTTGTAAACAAGAATGTACTGGAAACAAAATACAATTAGAAAAGATTAACCAATTTCAACAAACATATGAACCGTCAAAAGCGATATGGAACAAGAATTCAAAAATTTCGTTGATTAAGATGATGAATTTATATGAATTTATATGGAAGTGGAAATTAGATAGGTAATAAGTGGATGAATCCAGTGGTATACTAAAGAACCATTTATTTTTGAAATATTGAATAAAGGTTTGCGAACACAAAATATTGATATTCTATACATGTCTATCGTGGGCAGGCTCTATCAAGAAAAGAATTTGATAGAATGATAAAAGGTCAAGGACAATATATATCAATGAATAGTTTTTTCTCAACTTCAAGAGATAAAAACCTTGCATTAGAATTTGCTATCTCATGTGATACAAGCGATAATAAGCAACGAGTTTTATTTGATATTGAAGTCGATACAAGATTAAAAGAAACCAAACCATTTTCTGATATTCATCATCTAAGTCTGCATCCTGAAGAAAATGAAGTGTTATTTATGCTTGGAACAGTATTTAAAATTGAAAATGTTGATTATGATAAAATACAGCAATTTTGGATACTAAAATTGTCTTTGTGCGGAGAAGGAGATAATCAATTAAAAAGTGTTTATCAATCATTAAAGGAAGACTTACCTGAATTTATTACTGTTTTAACGCTTGCAGATCTCTTAAGAAGAATTGGACAGCACGAAAAAGCAGAAAAGTATTTGAAACAATTATTAAGTACGTTAGGAGAAGAGCATTCAAGTGCTCCAGGTTGTTATACCGTTCTTGGTAAAATTCCAATCGAAAACGGTAGTTATGACCAAGCATAGTACACATATAAAAATATTGGTATGGTACATAAAGCAGCAGAAAAATACGATTTAGCGTTACAGAACTATCATAAAAGTTTAAACATTTATCAATTAACACTAGCATCAACTGATCCGAAACTTATTAGTATTCAAGATTGTATTCAAAGTGTTAAGAATGACATACTAGTTTCTACATGGAAAATTTCTACTTAATAAATAGTATTTCGTAACATAGAGACTAAAAGTATTTTTTGTCGCATAGACGTTGTTTGGTCCCATAAAATAAACTTGAAACGTTTGTTTTTAATGTATGCTGGATCTTCAAAAAACTGCATTTCTAACTCTTTATTACATTTTAAATATGTCAATTGAGGTTAACGTCCTGAAAAAAATATCTTTTATGAATGTCTTTTTTCTTCAACACGTTGCACAACCTTTTTAAAAGCTCAGCGTCGTATTCGGAGAGGGTGTCAAAACTCCATCGAATCATGTACCCAAATCATTGTCTTAAGACCCAATTCTCTAAGAAATTGCGTACCTATAGCACCACACACACGGTATCGCGGGACTTTGTCAGTTCATGTGGAAGTAAAATGGAAAGAGAGACTTTAGAAGGTCTTATTTTACATGGAGCAGAGAGAGCAAACATTTTCTTGACCGTCACAAATTTTAATTGAGGGTCTGGCCGGGCGAGGCTGAAATTGATTTTGGGTTAAAACATCTCGAAAACTTTGAAAGTAACTTTTCGAAAAGTTTAAATGACCTCAGAATTCGACGTTCATTCTAACTAACCGAGACCAAAACTGTTTCAAATGTGCTGTCACCAATACTAGCATTTATGATCTTATTTGTTGCCTGCTGGTAGATAGTGTTGCTATCCTATGTTTGCTATAGTTCTAATATTTGTTCGTATTATTCTGTTGTTTCATCGACATGTCTGTTACTTATATAGTTTTGAAGTTTGGATCTTATTGTTTCCAATCGTGTTTCATTCAATGTCAATCGTAGATAACGTTTACGTTTTGTTTTATTCTTCTGAGTTTGATGATTATCGGTTCTGAGTTTTTTGTGAGTGTGGCTCTCTGTTGATCTGTTGTTAGTTGTACAGTAGGTGGTATCAACCGGTATTTTATCAGTGTGAGCAAACAATACAGGAGTTCGAAACTAGTTCTCACCTTTCTTTTTTTTGTTTTTCTTGTAGTGCGTATGCAGCGCAGTCAGATACCCGAACTGGAAAAATGAAAGTTTTTTGACTTTTCTGCGTTTCTTATATAGACTGACAACCGCAAAACAAAAAGGTGATTGTGTCAAAACGGTTTTTTCTTGTACCGCGGTCTGAAAAGTACCGTGCGGTAACCACCGGTAGAAGAAAACACCGTCGCTAAACCGATCATTATTCCGAACGATACGGTTAATGGGAACAGCTGTATTCAGTCGTTCTTTACTCTAACCTAGGAGTGCAAAAAGTGCTGGTCAGATTTCTTCACCTACCTTTGTAGACTATCTGCTGACGTCACAGTATTGATATCAGATGTCGTTTACCATGCTGTACTTCATCAGGCAAAATCCAGAACATAGAGAAACAATGGATTTTAAATTCTCGTAAGCGGATTCGTACCAGGCTCTTCTCTACATTTCTAAGCAAGTCCCAAACCTTCGCTTACCACGGTGCAGGCATGAGAGGGATCCGTTAGATTTTGTTGTAACAATATGTCATATCGACTATTCATTTCAGAAATAACATGAGAGATAGTCTCCTGGGCGCCCTCAAAGCTGTCCTCAAATTATGCCGGTTTGTAGAGTGCGTTGAGTGCGATGCATCCTCAAGAATTTTCGGCGGTCCTGCGAATATCGGTGGAATTATGAATTTTTTAACGTTGGACTGTGATTGAAGAAAAAGCACATGTATCATACATAACCTGATAGAGAAGGAACTCCATTCTTTGTTTGTATCGACAACAGTGGTTAGACATTTATATTTTATGCAAGAAAGTGTTATGGGAGCATCACTTGATTTTTCAGAAGTATTTTGAAGATTTTTCCACGTTTTTCGTCATCGAATATCAAAAACAACTTCAGATTCGTGTTCAACGGAAAAAAGTTCATGGTTCATTATTCAGTTATACAGAAACAGTAAATAAGTTGAATATTTACATGAGTATTTTGTGTTCAAGAAAATGTGAGAACCCCGCATTTTCACAGACACGTGACAGCTTTCAGCATACAACCACTAAGTGACACAGAATGTGTCATGGTTAACCGCGAAATTGAGAAAATGCGATTCGTCGTACCAAAAATCCGATTAAATTTCTTTTTCAACTCAATATTGCGTTCCATCGATGGGTTACAATTAGGCATGCAGCAGTTAAAAACTGGTGTTAGGGCTTCCACGAAAATTATTATAAGTCGCCTATAAAGAATTCTCCAGAGTCAGGAAACATCTCATTTTGTAGAGAAATGTTTGTTTTTAAAAACTCAGCTGTGAAAAAGAATTTAAAGTTATTTCTAACACAAATGTGAGCATTCTAAACTGCATTAAATTCAGAAAAAAACCTGTTCGAACAGTTTTTTTTCTAAATTTAGTGCAGTTTAGAATGTTCATATTTGTATTACAGATAACTTTGAAATTCTTCTACTTACTTGGATTGTAGTCCAAACATTTCTGTATAAAATGAGATGTTTCGCGACTCTGAGTAATTCTTTATAGACGACTTATAACAATTTTCGTGGAAGCCCTAACATCATAGTTTTTAACTGGTGCATGCCTAGTTACAATAGCATACGAAGGAATAACGGTTTAGAACAATCCTTTCGAATAAAGTATTGAACTATAACTATTATATGTATAGTAACTTTGGGTATAATCGAGAGTTCCTGTTACTTTTAGAAAAGATAACGATAGAAAACGCAGTCCCAATACTTAAAATCTGTCTGTTCATTTTCTGATTTTTATGCCCAGGTGGAATAAGTGGACATTTTCTCATTTGCTGCAGTTAGTTAGTTAAGGATACCAATACCCAAGTAGGTGTATGGTGAAGATCACAAAAACGAGGTCATGTGTTCTAAATCTAAATATGTTACATGTTCAGATTCTTTCTGATATCTACATCGTTTCTATAATGACTTCTCAACTGTCTGTAAGTATGATCAGTCTATTATCATAACTATTAGCATAACTGTGCATATGCATGCTGTATCTTTTGTAACTAGCAGAGAAGCAGGCATTCAGATGATCTCAACGTAAAATATCAATCTTATGGTTGCTTGCCGACCAGGAGAACTTTTCAAAAATTGAAAGCCTGCGTAAAACTATTATCATAACTGTGAAGAACGGTCGCTCCGATTGCCGGTGCGACGGTTCTTCACAGTTATGATAATAGTTATGATAATAGCCACACCCACAAAAAACTCAGAACCGATAATCATCAAACTCAGAAGAATAAAACAAAACGTAAACGTTATCTACGATTGACATTGAATGAAACACGATTGGAAACAATAAGA